CTATTAGCTGAAAGCTTCCTACAAAATCAGACTAAAATGAATGCTATACATGTATTAAATAAATTAAATCCTTATTAACCTAACAATGTTGCTGTTATAGGACATGTTTACCCAAGAAGCATCTAGAGTAGATGTTGATGAAATAAAATATGCATGTGATGCATTACATCGAGCCAACCAAAACATTACAATGGAAGGGCTTAATGTAGAAAAGCTGTACGGATTGGCTAGTGCTAGAATGGGCCTGGCTATTACAGCAAGATGTGTGGCCGGAATTGTCATGAATAATATAGATCCAAGACATGTTGATAGAAGGGTTAGAAAACTTATAGAGGCTGCTCAAATACTGTATGATGAAACACACGTGAATTGGACAAGGTAAAGTTTGATTGAGTTTTTTTATTGCTATTTCACACAAATTGCATATAATGACGCCAGGAAGATATAACTTATTATACCTTTTGCAATTTCTTGTGTGATATTTTATAACAAGAAACACAAGTTATTGTTATTGTTCAATAAATCAGAAAAAATATTAAGTGTTTTTGATCATTACCATACCTGTTATAATTAACCATATCAGCTTAAAATGACTTTCAACACTTGTTTACATTCAAACTCCGATGATTATTGTTTAAGTAATCCAGCAATTCTGCACCTGTTTTATTGCAAATGTGAGTTTATATAAGGAAACGTGAAATAGCCATAATATGCAAACAAGGGAAAATGTGATAAATGATGATTGTATGTGCCAAAATATGAGCCGCGCCATGACAAAACCAACATAATGGGTTTGCGACCAGCATGGACCCAGACCAGCCTGTGCATCCGCTCAGTCTGATCAGGATCAATGCTGTTCGCTGTCAGTTTCTCTACTTGTTATATGGTTTGTAAGGGAACAGCATGGATCCTGATCAGACTGCGCGGATACGCAGGCTGGTCTGGATCCATGCTGGTAGCAAATGCATTATGTTGGTTTTGGTTTTACTACCATTATTGTATTAAAATTAAACATAATGAATTTATTACTCAGGATATACCTGGTGAAGCACCTATGTAGATGTTATGGTATTGATGTGTATCAGTCAATTTGTCAAAATGCAGCACCATTCCTTAGATGGATCAGTATGAGAGATACAAACAGAGATCAGGTATATGATATTGACCTATTTCTATATTCATGACAGGGTTATTTCATAGAAATTGGGAAAAAATGTTAAACTTTCATTTTGGGAAATCCAAGCATGGGTATTTGTCATCCCTCTTGTTTTTACACCACACTTCTTAGATATACATGTATATTAAATTCTGAATCAAGGATTTTAAGTATTCATTGTAAATTAGAATGATACTACTTTAGGATGCAGTGATATCATAACTTTTTTTATTGCATACCTGTCAGCTTTTGAGGCATTGTAAATATGGTATTGTACAGCCATGCAAATATTTTGATGTGATGTCATTTGCATTATACAAACAATGTATCAAAATCTTGAAACAAAGTGATCCCTCGGAAGCTTTACATGAGGGATAATGAATAAGTGCAACATCCCTCACGCCCCCTAGCACCGACTTGAGCGGTACTCAATTCTCAACACTTAATAGTGCTGGCATCAATGATCTCGAAGGACCAGAAAAATATAACAACACTGAAGTGAAGTACGGGGCAACTTTTAACAGCTGCCACACATCACTTGACACCTGCTGTTGTGAAGTATAAAAATCTGGAAACAAAGTGATCCCTCGGAAGCATTCAGACTTGCCAGAGGCTCACATATTATTTTAATCAACTCGTTCAATTCAGTAATGAACTTAAACTCGTTCAATATCCTCTATGTATAAAAAGGTGGGTATTAAAAGATACTGCAAGTATTATAATACTTAAATTTGAAGATGTTACACATATCTTTTGGTTGAGTACTGATGTATAATTTCTTATGTTTACAGGTTGTGGAAGTATCTGATAGATATATTGTATGTGGAGATAATTATACAAGAATCAGAGAGGCTATAACAAAGGTTATCCTTGGTGAAAATGTTGAACATCTTTTTGAAACTGTACAGGTACGATTTCCTTCATCTCTTTATATGTATCATCTTTATATTATGAAATGGAACTGTACAATTTGCCTTTGGCAGAAAAATAGAAAAGTTTGCAGGTCATTGGTAGGTGATGATGTTGTGCATGCTTCAATTCAAAGTTCATGCTTTGTTTATTCAGACTTTGGTGAAGTTATTGTCCCCCGCCTTTTCGAAGAAAAAAGGGGGATATAGAAATAGGCTCTGTTCGTCCGCACTACCAAATAGGGATAAGGGGCCATCTAACTGTAAACAGAACAAAAGAGAACAATAGAGTTCATTCCGTAACAATAGAGTAAGGGGCCATTGGCCCTCTAAATAACAAAAGAAATGGCCCCTTATTATATTTCGGCGTGATGTCCGTCCGTCCGTCCGTCCGTCCGTTTGTCACACTTTCGTGTCCGGTCCATAACTTTGTCATTTATCAAAGGAATCTGAAATAACTTGGCACACATGTTTGTTATAATAAGACAATGTGTCATGCGCAACAACTAGACCCCTACCTCCAAGGTCAAGGTCGCACTTGCTCATTCAAGGTCAACATTGTCTATTTGAGGATATATGTCGTGTCCGGTCCATAACTTTCTTATCTTTCAAGAGATTTTGTAAATACTTGCCACAATTGTTCACAATAATGAGACAATGTGTCATGCGCAACAACTGGTCACCTGCCTCCAAGGTCACACTTGGAGGTCAAAGATTAACATAGTCTGTTATGGGGTATATTTTGTGTCCGGTCCATAACTTTTTCATAGATCGAAAGATTTTGTAAATACTTGCCACAAATAGTCACTATAATAAGACAATGTGTCATGCACAACACCTGCATCCCTACCTCCAAGTTCAAGGTCACACTTAGAGGTTAATAATTAACATAGTCTGTTTAAGGGTATATTTTGTGTCCGATTAAGAACTTCGTCTTAAAATAACTAGGCCGTATAGTCACAATAAGAAGACGATATGTCAAGAACAACACCTGCACCCCTACCTCCAAGGTCAAAGTCACACTTAGAGGTCAAAGGTTAACAGTCTGTTATATGGTATATTTTGTGTCCTGTCCATAACTTCTTCATAGATTAAGGGGTTTTGAAAATACTTGGCACAAATAGTCACAATGATAAGATGGTATGTCATGCGTAACACCTGTGTCCCTACCTCCAAGGTCAAGGTCACACTTAGAGGTCAAAGATTTACATAGTCTGTTATAGGGTATATTTTGTGTCCGATCTATAACTTCTTCATAGTTCAAGGGATTTTGAAAATACTTGGCACAAATAGTTACAATAATAAGATGATATGTCACACATAACACCTGCACCCCTACCTCCAAGGTCAATGTCACACTTAGAGGTCAAAGCTTAACATGATAAATTTTTAAATTCCGTGTTTTATTTTATTTCTTTATAAATTCATTGTTGCATTTGCAGATCTAGCATTGATTATAAGTATGAATTGAAAGTCCTGAGATCCATACCTCAATCTTTTGAAATAGCACAATTTTATTCTTCGTATAAAAATTCCCCGAGGCGGGGGACGTTGGTAACTCTGTTACAAATTCTTGTTTGCTTAAATATAGATTATTTGTTAACTTATCTATTTGTTGCAGACCACCAAATATTTCCTCTCTTGCATTAGGACCTGCATAGCTTCTATTTTGGTAGCACCGCTGATCACTTTAAACCAACATGAAATTTTTATGCCCCTATATAGCGTTGCACTTGTCCGTCCGTCCTTCCGTCTGTCCTTCCCTCCGTCCATACGTCTGTCCGTCCATACGTCCTGAAATCTTGTAAACGCAACTCCTCTTAAACCAGATGGCAGATTTTGCTTAAACTTCCAGGGATGAACAACCTTAATGTGTAGATGGTAGTAAAGGAAGGAATTTTTGCTGCGACCAAATTTAACAGAATTATGGCCCTTTGTTGATTTTTTCCCTATATACTATGTAGAAATTTTGTGAACGCAACTCCTCTTAAACCGGATGGAAGATTTTGCTTAAACTTCCAGGGATGAACAACCTTAATGTTTAGATGATAGTAAAGGAAGGAATTTTCGCTGTGACCAAATGTAACAGAATTATGGCCCTTTGTTGATTTTTTCCCTATATACTATGTAGAAATTTTGTGAACGCAACTCCTCTTAAACCGGATAGCAGATTTTGCTTAAACTTCCAGGGATGATCAACCTTAATGTGTAGATGGCAGTAAAGGAAGGAATTTTTGCTGCAACCAAATTTAACAGAATTATGGCCCTTTGTTGATTTTTAGCTCACCTGAGCATATGCTCAGGGTGAGCTATTAGGATCACTCTTCGTCCGTCGTCTGTCGTCCGTCGTACGTCGTCAGTTGTCCGTTGTCCGTTCAAACTTTTCAAACGACATCTCCTCTGAAACCATAAGGCAGATCATAATGAAACTTCACAGGGATGTTCCTTGTGTGAAGCCTTAACAAAGTTGTTCAAAGAATTCCATTCCATGCAGAACTCTGGTTGCCATGGCAACCAAAAGAAAAAACTTTAAACATCTTCTTCTAGAAAACCCAAAGAGCTAGAGCTTAGATATTTGGCATGAAACATCTTCTAGTGAGTGTCTACCAAGATTGTTCAAATAAAAGCCCTGGGGTCAAAATTGGCCCCGCCCCAGGGGGTCATTGATTTTCCCTATAGGCATATAGTAAAAAACTTAAAAAAATCTTCTTTTAAAGAACCCAAAGAGCTAGACCTAAGATATTAAGCATGAAACATCTTCTAATGAGTGTCTACCAAGATTGTTCAAATAAAAGCCCTGGGGTCAAAATTGGCCCGCCCCAGGGGGTCATTGATTTTCCTTATATGCATATAGTAAAAACTTAAAAAAATCTTCTTCTAAAAAAACCCAAAGAGCTAGAGCTTAGATATTTGGCATAAAACATGTTCTAATGGATGTCTACCAAGTTTGTTCAAATAAAAGCCCTGGGGTCAAAATTGGCCCCGCCCCAGGGGGTCATTGATTTTCCCTATATGCATACAAAATGTATAGTAAAAACTTAAAAAAAATCTTCTTTTAAAGAACCCAAAGAGCTAGACCTAAGATATTAAGCATGAAACATGTTCTAATAAGTGTCTACCAAGATTGTTCAAATAAAAGCCCTGGGGTCAAAATTGGCCCCGCCCCAGGGGGTCATTGATTTTCCTTATATGCATATAGTAAAAACTTGAAAAAAATCTTCTTCTACAAAACCCAAAGAGCTATTTGGCATTAAACATGTTCTAATGGATGTCTTCCAAGTTTGTTCAAATAAAAGCCCTTGGGTCAAAATTGGCCCCGCCCCAGGGGGTCATTGATTTTCCCTATATGCATATAGTAAAAACTTTAAAAAATCTTCTATTAAAGAACCCAAAGAGCTAGACCTAAGATATTAAGCATGAAACATCTTCTAATAAGTGTCTACCAAGATTGTTCAAATAAAAGCCCTGGGGTCAAAATTGGCCCCGCCCCAGGGGGTCATTGATTTTCCCTATATGCATATAGTAAAAACTTTAAAAAATCTTCTTCTAAAAAACCCAAAGAGCTAGAGCTTAGATATTTGGTGTAAAACATGTTCTAATGGATGTCTACCAAGTTTGTTCAAATAAAAGCCCTGGGGTCAAAATTGGCCCCGCCCCAGGGTTCATTGATTTTCCCTATATGCATATAGTAAAAACTTTAAAAAATCTTCTTTTAAAGAACCCAAAGAGCTAGACCTAAGATATTAAGCATGAAACATCTTCTAATGAGTGTCTACCAAGATTGTTCAAATAAAAGCCCTGGGGTCAAAATTGGCCCCGCCCCAGGGGTCATTGATTTTCCTTATATGCATATAGTAAAAACTTGAAAAAATCTTCTTCTAAAAAACCCAAAGAGCTAGAGCTTAGATATTTGGCTTAAAACATGTTCTAATGGATGTCTACCAAGTTTGTTCACATAAAAGCCCTGGGGTCAAAATTGGCCCCGCCCCAGGGGGTCATTGATTTTCCCTATATGCAAATAGTAAAAACTTAAAAAAATCTTCTTTTAAAGAACCCAAAGAGCTAGACCTAAGATATTAAGCATGAAACATGTTCTAATAAGTGTCTACCAAGATTGTTCAAATAAGTAAATAAAAGCCCTGGGGTCAAAATTGGCCCCACCCCAGGGGGTCATTGATTTTCCCTATATGCATATAGTAAAAACTTTAAAAAAATTCTTTTAAAGAACCCAAAGAGCTAGAGCTAAGATATTTAGCATAAAACATGTTCTAATGGGTGTCTACAAAATTTGTTCAAATAAAAGCCCTGGGGTCAAAATTGGCCCCGTCCCAGGGGTCATTGATTTTCCCTATATACATAGAGTAAAAAGTTAAAAATCTTCTATTAAAGAACCCAAAGAGCTAGAGCTGAGATATTTAGCATGAAACATGTTCTAATGGATGTCTACCAAGTTTGTTCAAATAAAAGCCCTGGGGTCAAAATTGGCCCTGCCCCAGGGTTCATTGATTTTCCCTATATGCATATAGTAAAAACTTTAAAAAATCTTCTCTTAAAGAACCCAAAGAGCTAGAGCTAAGATATTAAGCATGAAACATCTTCTTATCAGTGTCTACCAAGTTTGTTTCAAATAAAAGCCCTTGGGTTAAAATTGGCCCTGCCAGGGGGAGGGGGGGGGGCAAAAGTCATTGTTATTCATAATTTGTGTATAGTAAAATCTTCACATCATGAAATATCTTCTAATGGGTGTCTTCCAAGTTTGTTCAAATAAAAGCCCTTTGGTTTAAACTGGCCCGGCCCTGAGGGCCTATGTTCAGGTGAGCGACCCCAGGGCCATCATGGCCCTCTTGTTTCACTATATACCATATATATGTTGTCAGTGGGGGCATCCGTGTCCTTTGGACACAGTTCTAGTTTTTTAAATAAAAATTAATCTTTATAGTAAGGACTTATAATTATGTATTCTTGTTATCTTAGACTTTTCACAATTACATTAGTTATTTGTTCCTGTTCTGTTCTAGGAGCTTCAAGCTACAGGAGTTAGAGTAGAACCGATGTTACAGCTTGCTGTACATAGAGAAATTACAAGTTCATATCTGTACCCTCAACAACAGAGGAAACTGAAGGCACCGGTATGTACACTGCATGCATGAAAATATCATATATATATATATATATATATATATATATATATATATATATATATATATATATATATATATATACAAAAAATGAAAACAAGTGCCGGAAAAAAGTCACATATAAATAAAACAAAAAACACAGTCCATGAGTTAACTTATTTAATTATTTGCCAACCGGTTTCTCTTATGATCATCAGGGCAAATGTGACGTCGTCGCATAGTAACGACGACGTTTTTGTGTACACATGTGTACGCATAATCTAAAAATAGTAACGTCATTATATAGTATTAAGTTTTGGATTAAAAACATCAATAAAATAGCGTTCTTTAGATAACCTAGCTGAAACGTTTTTACTGTGAAATTTATAAAATGGGAAAATACAAAAGAACGCTATTTTATTGATGTTTTTATGGGGTTTTATGTTATTAGTCAATATGTTTTCACCTATGGTAAAATCAAATATATAGTTTATATATATAAATTAGTACCCCTTAGTTCTGTTGTATGGAAATGTTCATTATAGGCCTATATAGTGGCATATATAAAAACTGACTGCATGAAATAATGCCACTCAACTCGGTCTCATATATGGGCCCCGTAAGTGAAGATATGTGTGAATATATATATATATATATATATATATATAGTTATATTATTAGTTATAAAGATTGTTTACAGGTTATATGGCCCTATATAAACGGCTGTTTGTAAATATAACCCGAGCCATTAGGCGAGGGTTATATTGCAAACAGCCGTTTATATACGGCAATATAACCTATCAACAATCTTTATAACGAATTTATAATACAGCAAACATCATTTTTTAGAGAAAAAAGTAAGATTTTTTCATGAATCGACAACAGCCGTGTATATAAAACTGTATAAACATCACGATTATCCAATGAAAAGCGACGTTACAAACATGCAGTATTATAATACAGTATATAGTATGACTATCAATGGAAATTAACGATCAATAGAAAGTGATATTAACCTGATAATATTATCATAAAGGGTGTTGCTAAATTTACCTGCCAATTGATAAATTGATAATGAATTGACTGTAAATTCTGTATTAGCCAACCAGTCAAAAATTTGTGCAGAACTCATGCCATGGATGTGTTGCAATTAAGTTCAAGGTGACAGTTGAAAATAGAGAATATAAGAATCTCTAAAGAAAGTCCAAAACTGCAGAACCGAAAATGTTGCCGACTCGGTATGATTGAGCGAAGTCATATGTCTGACAATTTTGTGACAGCTCTATAAATCCTATATGCTTCGAAGAATTTTCATCAAACTAGGCTCAGATATTCATTTTACAAAAAACAAAAACAATATGGACCTACATAAAATCTTAATACACAGAGATGATAGAGGTATTGGCAACTCTAGTGTAATATTACTGACAACAAAGATTATGATATTGTTTTATTAAGTCAACTTATTGACAATTCTTCTTACTTGCTAGACCTGGCCTTTGAAATCTTATCTACATGAAATTATTTTTATTTTCCAGGTTATGGAAACATTGAATACGTTTGTGCAAGATTGTAATGCAGTGAAAAATAAGGTTTGATATATTGATTTTTTTTAATGTAAGCAGGTATAATAACTTGACTAGTCACCAATTAAGAGTTGGGCCAGTGTACTTATCCATGCACAATGACTAGGCTCTGTTTTGTTATTTGATTTCTTTTGTTATTCTACAAACTATCTTGTGACACAAAATTCAAATTTGGACAAGCCGAAACAAATTAATGCGTAAGTAATTACCTAGATCGTTTCCACTTCTCAAAACTGTAGGGTTGTACAGGTTTAAGCTAGAATAAGATTTTTTTTATAAATTATGTTGGTAGCAAACTTCATTTGCATATTTTGATATTTTACATGCAAACAGACAAGCACATTGTAAGAGGTGTTTGATTTGAATTATTAATTTCTTTTAATATTAATCTTGCAAAGGTTATATATTGTATTTGGATTGGATGCTGTAACTGAATTGCTTTTTTTCATGTGTTTTAAGATTGACAATGGAATTTTATTTCAGGTCTTCATGCAGAAGCTTATAACAAACCAGCTTGTACCAAGACACCTTGTGACTGTTGAAGGGGAAGATTTACGCCTACAAGGAATACAGTGCCTAATAGTTCACTATCTATCTGTAATGATGTATGTGAAAGGGGACAGAACTCTGCTTCAACCTTTACAACTTCTTATGATGAACCCGCAAGCATGTGTTGTAAGTTGTAATTAATTATTGAACTTTCTTATCATGTGCATGATTTTATTCTGTATGCTGTTT